GGACAATAAACCAGTGGCCGAGAGCATCCAAAGACGGAAAGGCCGGAGTAAAACCAGCAGCCCATCTCATGATGACGGTGCAAGATCTGACGGGGATCCACCAAAGTAAGTATAGTTGTCTGTAAATGTGGATTTCCTTTATGAACACTGTCAGGATATAGGAAAGGAAAGCCCGTCTGTCTGATGTTGACAACATCACCTATATTAAAGTATAGTCATATCACTCAATACTCGATGCCCTTAAGAGGGGAAAAGAGTCCTTTTTGTGTGTGAGTTCTGAATAAATTGGAAATCAAAGGTAAGCCACAACATTATTCTTAGTCGTCATGGTAGCAGGACATAAGATTTGGTTCTATGGCTCCTTTTTGGGAAAAGAGGCGCCGGTCGGAAATAGACAAACTCGCTCTATCACAAGCATTTACAAAAGGCAGTTACTTAGGCATGTTTCTTACATTCAGGACGCATCTGTCTAGTGCCGAAACAACCAACTGTCTACGGATAAGTAAACCAGATGTAAAACGGATGTGCACTCAAAATTCAAGTTCTGGACCAAGATTTAAGACCAGAATTGAGCAGTCAGCAAGAACTTTCCGCTGGAGTTTACTGCCGGGTAACGCTAAAGAAGAAAAGTATGAATGCTTATGGGACAGGGAACCCTGCAGTATTTCCGGTGGGTCATGATGGGAGTAAAGTTATTCAAAGGTTCTGTCCGCAAGGTTCCTAATAATCCCTTCATTTTCACCTTGGGTACCCAAACACATAGGGGACAACTGCCAACACATTTTCATCTTAAATTGTCAAATTACAGCCCTTGGCCTTCCCAAGCTTATTTAGTCTTGGACTAAATTCTTAATTCTACTGGCTAGACATCAACGCGGCTGCTTTGGAGTGTACGTCACTTAAGTGTTTCAGTGTTTACGTGTCGTTTTTTTTTTTTTTTAATGTATGTGCTGATAAAGGCTCTGTAGGAGCAAAGTTCACTTTTCGTTTGTGTTTGTTATTTTGTGAAGCTCGCTAATATACTTTTTTTGTTTGGTTGTATGTATTCTTCTTCTTCTTTCGTTTGCTTGAAATAAATTCTATACATCTGCAATGTTGTTTCTGGTATGAACTTCACTTTCTTTTGTAATTCACAGCGACCCTTGAAGTTTTCCTTGCACCGATGTTTAGTTTAGACCCGTTAAGTTTTGCCTTGATATGTTGTTTTTGGAACAGTCTTAGAGGACATGATCTATTGTCTCAGGTGCCAATTTACATGTCTACATGGCTGATTCGCCGATTTTAAAATGTGTATACATGTGGCTGGGAAGTCGACTTTGTCCTGTTCTAAGGCGTAGAATAATAACTTGCTCTGGTCTGTCGATAAAATGGTTTTATATCTTTCCGTAATATTCAAAAGTCTTGCTTCGTTTTGATGCTTGCAGGTGCTAAATATTAAAACGAATGACCAGTAACTGGTTTTTTTTTTTTATTTCCTTTGATTTAGGAGCGGCTAGTCTAATGATTAGAATACTTTTAAACTATTTCATGACTGACCAGTGTCTGATCTCTCTATTTCATGACTGACCAGTGTCTGATCTCTCTATTTCATGACTGACCAGTGTCTAATCTCTCTATTTCATGACTGACCAGTGTCTGATCACTCTATTTCATGACCAATGTCTGATCTCTCTATTTCATGACTGACCAGTGTCTGATCTCTCTATTTCATGACTGACCAGTGTCTAATCTCTCTATTTCATGACTGACCAGTGTCTGATCACTCTATTTCATGACCAATGTCTAATCTCTCTATATCATGACTGACCAGTGTCTGATCTCTCTATTTCATGACTGACCAGTGTCTGATCTCTCTTTGTCATGACTGACCAGTGCCTGATCTCTCTATTTTATGACTGACCAGTGTCTGATCTCTCTATTTCATGACTGACCAGTGTCTGATCTCTCTTTTTCATGACTGATCAGTGTCTGATCTGTCTATTTCATGACTGATCAGTGTCTGATCTCTCTATTTCATGACTGACCAGTGTCTGATCTCTCTATTTCATGATCAGTGTCTGATCTCTCTATTTCATGACTGATCAGTGTCTGATCTCTCTATTTCATGACTGACCAGTGTCTGATCTCTCTATTTCATGACTGACCAGTGTCTGATCTCTCTATTTCATGACTGACCAGTGTCTGTTCTCTCTATTTTATGACTGACCAGTGTCTGATCTCTCTATTTCATGACTGACCAGTGTCTGATCTCTCTTTTTCATGACTGACCAGTGTCTGATCTGTCTATTTCATGACTGATCAGTGTCTGATCTCTCTATTTCATGACTGACCAGTGTCTGATCTCTCTATTTCATGATCAGTGTCTGATCTCTCTATTTCATGACTGACCAGTGTCTGATCTCTCTATTTCATGACTGACTAGTGTCTGATCTCTCTATTTCATGACTGACCAGTGTCTGATCTCTCTATTTCATGACTGACCAGTGTCTGATCTCTCTATTTCATGACTGACCAGTGTCTGATCTCTCTATTTCATGACTGACCAGTGTCTGTTCTCTCTATTTCATGAATGACCAGTGTCTGTTCTCTCTATTTCATGACTGACCAGTGTCGGATCTCTCTATTTCATGACTGACCAGTGTCTGATCTCTCTATTTCATCACTGACTGAACAGTGTCTAATCTCCTTATGCAGAAGACCTGGGTTGGATCCTCGGTAAAGGATGTATATTTTTTATTTTTTTAAGGGACAAAATAAAAAATCCCAACCTGCTCAATTAGTGGTGACTACACTAGCCATGTGGCCCTAAAGCCTTGGACCCCACCCCCCTACCCCATTCCTCCCCCACCCCCCATTTTTTTCAGCCAGTAGAGACAGTAAAGATAGTCACTTTAATGAATGGCCCGTTTTCTTGAGCTCACTGTATGATGACTGACTCCGTTATTGATCCGACTATGTGATAAATGACCCGTGTCTTGATTTCATTATTTAATGAATGACACGTGTCTTGACCTCACTATTTAATGACTGACCCGTGTCTTGATCTCACTATGTGATAACTAACCCGTGTCTTGATCTCACTATTTGATCACACACCCGTGTTTTGATCTCAGTATTTATTGACTGACCTGTGTCTTGGTCTCAATATTTGATGACTGACCCGTGTTTTGGTCTCAATATTTGATGACTGACTCGTGCCTTGATCTCACTATGTTATCACTAACCCGTGTCTTGATCCCACTATTTGATGACTGACCCGTGTCTTGATCTCATTATTTGATGACTGGCCCGTGTCTTGATCTCACTATTTGATGATTGACCCGTGTCTTGATTTTTATATTTGATGACTGACCCGTGTCTTGATCTCACTAATTGTTGACTGATCCGTGCTTTGATCTCACTATGTTATCACTAAACCGTGCCTTGATCTCGCTATGTTATCTATCTATTTCATGAATAGCGTATGATCTCTTTATTCCGTGACCAGTGTCTGATCTATCTATTTCATGATTAGCGAATGATCTCTTTATTCCGTGACCAGTGTCTGATCTATCTATTTCATGATTAGCGTATGATCTCTTTATTCCGTGACCAGTGTCTGATCTCACTATATCCGGACTGACCAGTATCTGACCAGTATTGCCTGATTTACCAAGGTCTAATCTCACTATTTCATTACTGGCAGTGTCTTTAACTAGCCCTTTGATAACGAGCCAGTGTCTTGAACTTACTATTTAATGACTGGCGGAGTCTTCGTATCAAGTTGATGACTGTCTTGTTTTTAAATAATAAATTTAACTATCTCTGATTCGTGTCATTACCTCATTATTTCATGATTAATCTGAGTCTTTGACTTTCTTTTTGATGACTGATTCATGTCATTGACTAACTCTTTCATGACTGATTAGCGTCATTGACTCATTATTATATGACTGATAGTTTCTTTACGTCACTTTACGGTGATAACTTGTGTCTTCATCTCAGTTTACGATGTATCATCCGTGTCATTAACTGATTCATCAGTAACATGTAACTTTGACTAATTTTGTGACGACTGATTCGAGTCTGTATCTCACTGTTTGATTACTGACTCGCTTCTTAAACCCCATTCATGTTTTAAAATCGGTGTCTGACACATGTCTTTAACTCACCTTTTAATGACTGACCGTGTTTGATCTCATTATTTATGACTGCAGTGACTTCATATAACTATTATGACTGACAGTGTCTTCGACTTATTATTTAATGAGTCACCTGTGCCGTTAACTCGCTATTTGATCCAAAAATGTGTCTTTAATTCACCCATTGATAACTAAAGCTGTGTCTCTGACCAACCCATTGATGACAAACCGTGTCTCTGACTCACTCATTGATGACTAATCGTGTCTCTGTCTCACCCATTGATGACTAACCGTGTCTGTGACTCATCCGTTGATGACTAACCGTGTCTCTGACTCACCCATTGATGACTAACATTGCTTCTGACTCACCCATTGATGACTAACAGTGTCTCTGACCCACCCATTGATGACTAACCGTGCCTCTGACCCACCCATTGATGACTAACCGTGCCTCTGACTCACCCATTGATAACTAAAGCTGTGTCTCTGACCCACCCATTGATGACTAACCGTGCCTCTGACCCACCCATTGATGACTAACCGTGCCTCTGACCCACCCATTGATGACTAACCGTGTCTCTGACTGACCCATTGATGACTAACCGTGGCTCTGACCCACCCATTGATGACTAACCGTGTCTCTGACCCACCCATTGATGACTAACCGTGTCTCTGACTGACCCATTGATGACTAACCGTGGCTCTGACCCAACTATTGATGACTAACCGTGTCTCTGACCCACCCATTGATGACTAACCGTGTCTCTGACTGACCCATTGATGACTAACCGTGGCTCTGACCCACCCATTGATGACTAACCGTGTCTCTGACTCACCCATTGATAACTAACCGTGTCTCTGTCTCACCCATTTATGACTAATCGTGTCTCTGTCTCACCCATTGACGACTAACCGTGTCTCTGACTCATTCGTTGATGCCTAACTTTGTCTTGAATTCCATATTCTAGTCTACGGTAAGCAGTACACCATTGGTAACTGGATCCACAATGATGACCTGGCGTTTACCTACCACACCACCTACAGACACGGCCGAATTGTTATACCTGAGGATGGTTTTTACTTTGTGTACAGGTGAGTCTCACTTGATGTCTGCTTGCACAGTTAAGGTCCCTTTTCCACGCCTTGTATTGAGAATATAGGGCTAGACGTATATTTGTATAGACCAATCTGCACTTGGTAGGTGATGTTATTTATGTCCACCTGTATCTTTGTAATTATACAGGCGAGTCCCACCTGATGTCTGCTTGTAAAGTCCTTTTTCCACGCCTTAAAACGTATTGAGAATATAGGGCCAGACTTGTATTTGTATAGACCAATCGGCACTTGGTGGGTGATGTGATTTGATGTCTACCTGTCTCTTGGTAATTATAACTGCTGCCTATTTTTGTTTCTATTAAATCCTGTTTGATAGCTACCTGTATCTTGGTAATTATAACTGTTGACATTTTATCTGTTGATTCCCATTTGATGTCTACCCGTATCTTGGTATACCCGTATCTTGGTAATTATAACTGCTGCCTTTTTTTTTTCTATCAAATCCTTTTGATGGCTATCAGTATCTTGATATTTATAACTGTTGACTTTTTATCTGTTGATTCCCATTTGATGTCTACCCGTATCTTGGTATACCCGTATCTTGGTATACCCGTATCTTGGTAATTATAACTGCTGCCTTTTTTTTCTAATAAATCCTGTTTGATGGCTTCCTGTATCTTGATAATTATAACTGTTGACTTTTATCTGTTGATTACTATTAGATGTCTACTTGTATCTTGGTAATTATAACTCTTGCGTTTTTATCTGTTGATTCCTGTTTGATGTCTACCTGTATCTTGGCAATGATAACTGATGCCTTTTTTATAAATTTAGTCCCATTTGGTATTTACCAATATCTTGGTAATTATATCTGTTGTCTGTCTATCTGTTAAATCCTGTTTGATGTCTACCTGTATAATCTTAACTTTGTCTTAATTATCCTTCCGCTTCTGGGCTAGTGAACGATAATTCAAAATGCCCTTCACTGTCTTATTTGAAAAGTGGTGAACAAATAATTGATCTCGAGACAAAATCCAGAAACATCCCGCAGTAAATGCACGAGGCAATTTAAAAATAAAAACGCCTTGAAGCTTTGAAGGTTATCGATCCGCCATATTTGACCGGAAGTCCATTGTGCAACTTAAAAACGAATGAACGGTATGTTTAATGTAATATGGCCAAGGAAAAATATTAAAAATCGATAGAAGAAAAGAAAAGTTGTTAAAAATACCCCTTCCTACCTCCGATTTTTTTTTTTTTAACCCTAAGGTAATCTTATTGTCTGTATCTGAGAGAGTTACTTGCATATCCTTTACAGGACGTTGCAGAACAAACCTTAGCATTTTTGGGCTGTTGTGGTTTACGTCCAGTAATTTGCCATTGCTTCCTGGACGGTCGGCTTCTCGATACCACTGTCGAAACCAACGGAAGGCGCAAGGCCGGCAGCTGGGATCTAACCCGGCACCCCGGCATTACGAAGGGTGTTCACAACGCCTAAGTCACAGACGCCGACAGACGCCGTTTGTACCTACAAGAGATAAAATGCGTTGATATTAGTAATGTCCCAGACTTACGTAAAATAATTCTGTATAAAATTGATTGAGTAGACGCAATTCATTGTGAACGACAGACTAATTCTTGACATGGAACTGCTCAGAGAGTCGCACAAAGCACCAGCTGCCTAGCTCCGGCGACTGCGTCATATGGGAGATCACGCGGCGCACTAATGTCCACTGTAACCTTCAACTTTATCCGGGCACATTGGGTTAGTTATAAAAACTGTGTGTTGTTAAAATGTTATTATGTGTGCAATGTTTGTAGAACTTATAGTAGTAGTTTAGTTAAACCTTTTCTGTCTTCCAACAGCCAAATCTCTTTCATGGAAGTCTTCGACGTTCAGCACAATGACGGCTACGGCAGTCGAGGCAGCTCCGAGTTTCCCAGCTTGTCTCATTATTTATACAGGTGAGATTGGAGCTGCGCTTCGCCTCAACAACTCTTGGTTTGTGTCCCATCTATCCCTTCACACCCCCCTCCCCAACTTTGTGTCACCCTTTCGCCAGCCCCACCACGCCCCTTTGTTTTACACGTGCACGCAGAAACACACATGCAAGCGCAGACGCACACACGTACAGACATAGACAGATACACACTTATATAAATACACAGACAGGTTCTCATCCACCGCTCTCGTTCTCCCAGACTCTATCTCCATCTATTTATCTCCCCCTCTCTCTCTCTCTCTCTCTCTCTCTCTTTCTTTCTCTCTCTCTCTCCCTCTCTCTCTCTCTCTCTCTCTCTCTCTCTCTTTTTTTTTTCTCTGACGTTCTTTCACTCTCTGATATTCTCCTTTACTCTCTTCATTTCTTTCTGACTCTTTCTCTCTGGTTTTCTCTTTATATGTCTGACTCTCTCATTTTATCTCTCCATTTCTCTCTGTCCCCTCTCCTTCTCTCTGTCAGTGGTCGTCTGATAAGAAGTGTTTAACAAATATATCGCAAATACTCCCGCAGGTACAACATCCAGTATCACAACGGAGGCGAGGAGAAGCTGGCTCAAAACTCCATCACCAAATGCTGGGGTCAGAGCAAAACCTTCGGGGAGTACACAAGCAACCTGGGAGCCGTTTTCTACCTGAGGACTGCCGATGAGATCTTCATTAAAGTCTCCAATATCAGCATGGTGGCTACTGACCCGAAGCTCAGCTACTTTGGGCTGTTCCGGATATAACTTTTAATGAGATAGTGTACACATTTTTATGGTGAGATAGTGTGCAAATTTTGTTTAGTGAAGGTGCTGCGAAGTGAGGTGGTTTGTTATGTTGGAAGTGTGTAGTTTTTGAGGCATTTTGGTTGAGACTGGGACAGAATTAAATGTGAGGCCTTGTGACTGTAATATCGAAACAGGACTCGTTTTGATGATAGTGGGTGTTAGGGTGAGATGGGATTCGTTTTGATGATTGTAGTTGTAAGACCTAAAGGGAAAACGGGGCTCCTTTTGAAGATTGTGTCTGTGAGATTGAAACGGTGCTCATTTTGAGGATTGTGGCTGTGAGATTGAAATGGTGCTCATTTTGAGGATTGTGGCTTTTAGACGGGAAACGGTACTCATTTTGAGGATTGTGGCTGTGAGATTGAAATGGTGCTCATTTTGAGGATTGTGGCTGTGAGATTGAAACGGTGCTCATTTTTAGGATTGCGGCTGTGAGATTGAAACGGTGCTCATTTTGAGGATTGTGGCTGTGAGATTGAAACGGTGCTCATTTTGAGGATTGTGGCTGTTGGGAAACGGTACTCATTTTGAGGATTGTGGCTGTTAGACGGGAAACGGTGTCTATGTTGAGGATTGTGGCTGTTAGACGCGAAACAGTGCTCATTTTGAGGATTGTAGCTGTGAGATTGAAACGGCATTAATTTTGAGGATAGATTCTGGCTGTGAAATTGAAAATTGATTATGTATGAGGACTGAGGCTGTATACGAGTGAAACAAGATTATGTGTTAGATCCTTTGACTGTGAGACTAAAAGGGAATTAGTTTTGAGGTATGTGACTGTGACAAAAGACATGGGATGCAGAATAAACTAGACTGATGTGGTCAATATGCAATAAGCATGAAAAAAACATATTTTCATCATTTAGCATATTACCACCATGGTAAGTTGCTGAAGTCATGAATTTAAACTTAGAACGCTCATTTTAACACTTACCATTCGAGTGCTGCTATCAGTTGAAATCATGCACAAACATAGAAAGCACTTTTTTTCCACCCCAGAATGTAAGTGCTACTTTCAGGTATATAAAACATGAAGAATACATAGAAAGCACCATTTGAGACTTCAGCATTCAAGTGTCTAAGTTCTGATGAAAACACGGAACAGTCCTAGAGAACACGTTTTAACACTACAGCTTTGAAATGCTGTTTTAAGCTGATGAAAACATGGAACAATCCTAGAGAACAGATTTTAACACTTCAGCGTTGAAATGCTGTTCTAGGCTGATGAAAACATGGAACAATCCTAGAGAACAGATTTTAACACTTCAGCGTTGAAATGCTGTTCTAGGCTGATGAAAACATGGAACAGTCCTAGAGAACAGATTTTAACACTTCAGCGTTGAAATGCTGTTCTAGGCTGATGAAAACATGGAACAGTCCTAGAGAACAGATTTTAACACTTCAGCGTTGAAATGCTGTTCTAGGCTGATGAAAACATGGAACAGTCCTAGAGAACAGATTTTAACACTTTGACGTTGAAATGCTGTTCTAGGCTGATGAAAACATTGAACAGTCGTAGAGAACATATTTTAACACTTTGACGTTGAAATGCTGTTCTAGGCTGATGAAAACATTGAACAGTCCCAGAGAACATATTTTAACACTTTGACGTTGAAATGCTGTTCTAGGCTGATGAAAACGTTATTAAACACAGGAGGCACACACTGGCAGCACAGTTTGACACTTTACCATTTAAATACTGCTCTTACTTGCTAAAAACATGGATCAAGCAATTATTTTTGCTATGTTAATATTGTGAAATGCGATAAACACACAACATATTGGTCTTGGGCGAAAACTTGGTATTGCCTCATACATTTTACAAGTAATTGAATTTACTAGTGACTAATAACAAACAAGAGAGGATTCAACCTTATTGTAGCTTCTTTTTAAAATTTCTTTTTAAATTCTTTCTTGTGATCGCTCTTTGATTTACACCGACGATGATTTCTTGTGATCGCTCTTTGTTTTACACCGACGCTGATTTCTTGTGATCGGCTCTTTGTTTTACACCGACGATGATTTCTTGTGATCGGCTCTTACACCGACGATGATTTCTTGTGATCGGCTCTTTGTTTTACACCAACGATGATTTCTTGTGATCGGCTCTTTTATTTACACCAACGATGATTTCTTGTGATAAAATTGACCTTTTTTTTCAGTTCCACTGCTGGCTGCGTGGGTTTTTATCGTGGTTTGGGGCGTCGTAGGGCGACCCAGCCTAAAATGGGTTCCAGGATGTATGTCCTGGGGAAGTAATGACGGCCAGTATAATGCTGACCACATTACCCACTTAGTGCCAATGGTCTGTAAAAATATGGGCGCTCTTCCCATTTACCCGATACGCCTAAAGGCGTGAAAATGGATCTTTACTTTTTGCTTTCTAGTTCAAGACAACTCTGAGTGCAGTTTGGGTTCATTGGGTCAGTATTGCCTTTATAATGGTTATACAAAAAACATTAACAGTTAAAGTATTTTGGCCACATCAAGCGTCATGGTGGCTACGAAAAGACGGTGACTGAAGGTGCAGTTTGTGGAAGCCGAGGCCGGGGTCGACCACCGCGAAGATGGATACAAAACATTGAAGATGCATTGGCATTGAAAGCACATGAGGCTAGAGAAAGGGATACTTTCAGGAGTGCCGTAAAGAAAGCGACGTTCTGTAAAGGACTTGCTGATTGATGATGATGAATGGCTATACAAGAGACTTTCTTGCAGGACATGTTCTGCAGTTTGCACACTCAGCTCGCATGTGTTTAGTGATAAGCTAATTAAATTAAGCCTGTGAATTTGCTACTGTTAAAGCAAAAGGTGCTTGAAAACTATTTTCTTTATTATGAAACAAATAAAGAACATATCTAGACATCCAGTCACGGCCTTGTAATAATGTTTTCTGTTAACTTGATTTAACCCTTTTAGTGTCCAGCACGCACCATACAATTCAAGGTCATGCCAATGATAACATAATATTCTTCTAGTTGTCTTTTATCACAGATATGTGTTTTATTAACCCTTTGTATCTGATTTATTATTTTAACTACTTCTGCTTTAGTGTCTCCATTAGACGTGAGTTATGTATTGCTTCTAAAATCAACTTTGTGGGACAGAGTTGGGGGGAGGGGTTAAAGTGAACTTCTTGATACTGAAAGAGTTAAACACACGTGACAAATATACATAACATATACATGTCAATCTAGGCATTTGATCTATACTTTATTTGTATGTAAAGTTAAAATTAGCAACATATTTAAAAAAACACATATAGACAGCATATTATGTAAATAATTTTGACTCCTGCAAGATGAAATTTTTCATTATATTACCAAATATTAAATTGTTTACATTTTTATGCTCTGGTGATGTGGGTTAGTGTGGTGAGATTGCATGCTTTTGTGGGGTGAGCTATCTGATGAGATCACCTGTTGTGTAGTGAGGTACCCAGATAAAAACATTTGCGCTGTGACATACTCCAGTGAGTTCACCTTATGTTGTGTGGTAAGGCCCTGTGGTGAGATTAGTTACTGAGCAGTAAGGTGCTCAGATAAAAAAAACACTTGGGTGGTAAGATACTCTGATACAATATTTTCTTGTGTGATGAGGTATTCAGATGAGTTTGTGTGTTATGGGATGCAGTATTCGGATGAGTTCACGTGTTATGGTGTTGAGTATTTAGATGAGTTCATGTGTTCTGGGGTGGTGTATTCAGATAAGTTCATGTGTTATGGTGTTGAGTATTCAGATGAGTTTATGTTCTGGGGTGGTGTATTCAGATGAGTTCATGTGTTATGAGGGGGGGGGGGGGGGGGGGGGGAGAGAGAATTCAGATGAGTTCATGTGTTATGAGGCTGAGTATTCAGATGGGTTCATATGTTATGGGGTGGAGTAATTCAGATGATTTTATATGTTATGGGGTAGAGTATGCAGATGAGTTCATGTGTTATGGGGTGGAGTATTCAGATGAGTTCATGTGTTATGGGGTGGAGTATTCAGATGAGTTCATGTGTTATAGGGTGGAGTTTTCAGATGAGTTCATGTGTTATGCGGTGGAGTTTTCAGATGAGTTCATGTGTTATGCGGTGGAGTTTTCAGATGAGTTCATGTGTTATAGGGTGGAGTATTCATATGAGTTCATGTGTTATGGGGTGGAGTATTCTGATGAATTCACATGTTATGGGGAAGCGTTTTCAGATGGGTTCATGTGTTATGGGGTGGAGTGTTCAGATGAGTTCTTGTGTTATGGGGTGGAGTATTCAGATGAGTTCATGTGTTATAGGGTGGAGTTTTCAGATGAGTTCATGTGTTATGGGGTGGAGTGTTCAGATGAGTTCATGTGTTATAGGGTGGAGTTTTCATATGAGTTCATGTGTTATGGGGTGGAGTATTCTGATGAATTCACATGTTATGGGGAAGCGTTTTCAGATGGGTTCAAGTGTTATGGGGTGGAGTGTTCAGATGAGTTCTTGTGTTATGGGGTGGAGTATGCAGATGAGTTCATATGTTTTAGAGTGAGGTAGTCAGATAAATTTTACTATTTTGGAGTCAGATAAAGTCAACTATTGTGGTGTGAGGTATGCTGGTGAGAGCACGTACATGGAATTATATAATGAGACCCACTAAGGAAATCATAAATTGATATGGGGCGTGGCCATATAATTGTATCACCTCTTTGTGTGTGGTCAGGTACTCAGATCAGATCACCTGTTGTGTTTGAGGTATTTTGATGTGATTACCTGTGTGGTGAGGTACATTGCTGGGATCACCTGGTGGTGTTGTGTGATGAAGTACTCTATAGAAAGCACTGGAGATTAAATTAATTATACTGATGAAATATTTGTTTTGTTCTGTGGTACCCTGATGGATTCACCTGTTGTTGTTTGCTAAGGTTTCTGAGATAACCTTTTTTTTATAAGGTGAGATACTCGGGTAAAGTAACCATCGTTATGAGATACTCTGAGGGA